AGAGAGGAAAGGAGAGGAGGCAGAGAGAGGAAAGGAGAGGAGGAGAAAGGAGAGGAAAGGAGAGGAGGCGAGAGAGGAAGGAGAGGAGGCGAAGAAGGAGAGGAGGCAGAGAGAGGAAAGGAGAGGAGGCAGAGAGAGGAAAGGAGAGGAGGCAGAGAGAGGAAAGGAGAGGAGCCAGAGAGAGGCAAGGAGAGGAGGCAGAGAGAGGAAAGGAGAGGAGGCAGAGAGAGGAAAGGAGAGGAGGCAGAGAGAGGAAAGGAGAGGAGGAGCAGAGAGCGGAAGGAGGAGGCCGAGAGCGGAGAAGGAGGCGGCAGAGCGCGGAAATGAGAGGAGGCGAGAGAGGCAAGGAGAGGAGGCAGAGAGAGGCAAGGAGAGGAGGCAAGCAGTAGAGGAAAGGAGAGGAGGCAGAGGAGGAAGGAAAGGAAGAGGGGAAGAGAGAGGAAAGGAGGAGGCGCCAGCGAGGCAAGGCAGGAGAGGAGGCCAGAGAGAGGAAAGGAGGGCGGCAGAGAGAGGAAAGGGAGGGAGGCCAGAGAGAGGCAAGGGAGAGGAGAGAGAGAGAGAGGAAAGGAGAGGCCGGCCAGCGAGAGGAAAGGCGCAGGAGGCAGAGGAGAGGAAGGAGAGGAGGAAGGAGCGGAAAGGAGAGGGAGACAGAGAGCGGAAAGGAGAGGAGGCAGAGAGAGGAAAGGAGAGGAGGCAGAGAGAGGAAAGGAGAGGAGGCAGAGAGAGGAAAGGAGGGGAGTCAGAAGACCGATAGAGAGAGAGACATATGAAAGGCTCAGTGTTAATGACTACATCAGGGAAATCCCATTGGAAACAGCAGGCTTGGCGCGCTACCATCAGTGACCTGACGCAGGTTGTATTACCTGATTGTAATAAGATCAAATAATATTGAGATAGAGTGTGTGTGTGTGTACACTTCTACAGAAATCAGTCACAAACTCTGTCAGACACATGAAACTCTTCACTTCTCTAAAACTGAAATACTATGAATGAAACACACAAGTCAGTTGAAGAAATTCCAAGGTAAAGCTGAAGATTCTTGGAATTTTTTTCGCACTCAGTAATCATCTACGTACTGACAGCATCACTACCAGTGTTTCCCACCCCTGTCGTTGCGAATCAGATGTGTGATTTTTACATGGAGGTTATCGACCTTTCACCTTCTATTACTCATCACGAGCTGTTCTGACTTAACCACACACACACACACACGGCGAGACAGGCTGGCCTCTCTGACAGAAACATATTTTACTGACAGACCTCTATTCTTCACTTCCCTCCACTTCTGGTAATAGACCGAGACCACACACACACACACTACACACACACACACACACACACACAGCGTTTACTATCATAGCTCAGCCCACCTGGCTCCTTGATGCGTCACCGCAGTTACCTACTGTACCCAGCGTTGTCACAGCAACCTCACACACACTTTGTCTGTCTGTGTGACTGATGAATAACTACCGCTATGAGTCAGATCAGTTTAGTGACACACACACACACACACACACACACACACACAATACACACACACACACACACTCTAGAGCTGTGAGTTGACCTCCCTCTGGTTGTGCTTAACTGTTACGTGTAGGTAACTTCCTGCTTTGTAACCTAGCTGGCTCTAGATCTGTTCCGGGCTTCAGGTCACTCCCATTGTCTTACAGCAACGCACAGACCGACAGGAAGACGAGGCTAAAATATATACACACGTCACATTTATTATCCATTAAAACACTCCTAGAGGAGAACGTCTGCACAGCAGATATGAATCTAGTACTACATAGTACACAGTTATACCTGTTAGTACCAGAGAGTACACAGTTATACCTGTTAGTACCAGAGAGTACACAGTTATACCTGTTAGTACCAGAGAGTACACAGTTATACCTGTTAGTACCAGAGAGTACACAGTTATACCTGTTAGTACCAGAGAGTACGCAGTTATACATACAGTACTGTAATATTGTGTAGCGTAAACATTCCTGGTCTTTGTGAACATTGTAAAGACTGTAAACATTGTAAACAACTTTGTAAACATTGCCAGTAAAGTATTGTTGTTGTGGCTCAGTTCTTCTGCTACAGCGAACCCGGCCCTGCCTAGAATGGCAGAACCGGTCCACTAACCCTAACCTCCGCCATACTGTCCACCTCGCACGGTCAGCGGCCTGGACCGTAACGCAACCGCCCCAGTGGTTCTTTAATGCAGCCACTCCATAACCGGTCGTTGTGGTCCACGTACGGTCCTTAAAATCCTCCAGGGACCGACCGGATAAACCCAACCGAGACCAACTGTGACATGGCTCACTATGACCTATGACCCTGACCAAACGTAGTGCACTGTGTAGAGAATAGGACCATGTTTCTAACCACGACCCGGTCTCTAGTTCCAACGCAACCAACCCAAAACCCTTCAGTACCAACCCGATGCAAGTCGTTTTTAGTCCTGAAACTCCGTTAGCCAAGTCCCGCCTCAACGGCGTCCCCTGTGACATCATATCCTGTATGGGAACTCTAACAGGAAGTCTTTCAGGACTTGGTTGACGGGGACCCTCTCGACCCGCTCCACCTCGCCGCCGCACGACTCCACGACCCGTTTCCTGCACAGGTCCTGGAGCGTGGGGCGCTGTTTCCTGTACGGAACGCTCAGGCTTTTCTTCGAGGAATTGATGTAATGTTCCAGCAGGACGAAGAGGCAGGGGAAGGAGTGCTCACTTCCTTCCAGGCTGAAGTGCTGTTCCTTTAAGATGATTCGTACGCTGACGGGGCCGCTGGCCGCGCGGTAGGACAACGTGAAGAAGACGTCCTTCTTGCGACTGTCCCGGATCAAGAATGTTCCCGTGGCAACGTCCTTAAGTCGGCTGTGAGCCTGCGGGGGGGGCGGGGGGGGGGGGGAACAACAGAGGACAGAGAATAAATATCAAATCAATAAATAATGAATTTCATTGAGTTTCATTTAAGTTCGAAATAATACATGCAATTAAACAAGATGTTCATTTGATCCCAGATGATAACAGTAACATTTAGAAATAATAAAAACACTTAAAAATGTAATGTTATGTAATAAATTAATCATTCCTGTTTAATATATGTCAAGTTCTAAGGCCCAAATAGGTTGAATACTTCCGGTTCAAAGGAGAAGTCTTTTTTTTTTTTTTTTTTTTTTTTTACAACCAAATCTAAATTGTTGATGTAAATGGTCCAAGTCTCAAACAGAATGGACAATAACGGACACAATTTAATTTGTACAACATCTAACGACCTGCGTCACTATTACCTGAGAGCTTTGCCGTTTCTAAAAGGCCAATATTTGGGTGATTCTGGAGCCTTTGTTAATGGGTTTTTTTTAAGGTCCCCCAATAGAGACTACACAGCGAGGATGAGGGCAGTGATTTGCAGTTTGGGATGAGTTTCTCAAAAAATATGTGAAATCACAACAAAAAAAAAAAGGTGTCTGGACCCTTCTATAACATGCCGTTTACATTTTAAAAAAATAGAGATTTGGTTGTAAAAAAAAAAAAAAAACTTCTCCTTTAACTTCATATAATCTAGTTGTATTGAAATCGGTATTTGCACTTTTAATCCATTAATGACTGCCGTCTCTCTGTTCCGTTCCTCTCAGGCAATTTCTGACTATTATTGTTGTGAAAAGGTTATATAAATAACATTTTATCAATCAATCAAATGTATTTTAATAATGCTCTTTTTTACAACAGCAGATGTCACAAAGTGCTTATACAGAAACCCAGCCTAAAAAAAAACCCAAACAGCAAGCGATGCAGATGTAGAAGCACGGTGGCTAGGGAAAAACTCCTTTAGAAAGGCAGGAACCCTAGGAAGAAACCTCGAGAGGAACCAGGCTCTGAAAGGGGTGATAGATAAAATAGATATATGTATTGTTTTTAATTACCTCCACCACTCCTAGGGGTCCCCAGTAGAAGCCGGAGCGCTCCAACATGGAGGCCGTCCGGGTGATTAACAGGAAGTCTCCCTGGCAGCGGAACAGAGGAAAGTGGGTGGAGACTGGGACCCGGGTGGGGAGGGGCTGGTGGTCTAACTGGTCTGGTAATGGGATTGGGGTTGCCACACACTGGTTGGACGGTTGCTGACGGTGTGACTGGGAGGAGTGGTGGACTGATGATGATGATGAGGATGAGGATGATGATGGTGGTGAGGTTGCGTGGTGGTCGGAGTGCGGAGTCGAGAGGAGGGTGGAGGTGTCCCTGGATCTAGGAGGTGATGGTGGTGATGATGAAGGTGTTGTTGTTGTTGTTGTTGTTGTTGTTGTTGTGTCTTGTTCTTCCAAAGTGCTATGAGCGACCATCCTACAGGGGAGAGCGGTCCCAACCCTCTCCCATCGCTACACAGTACCCTGGCATCCTGAGGGAGGGAGGGAGTTAGGGGGAAGAAAGTGGGGTGGGGGAGAGAGGGAGGGGGGAGGGAGGGGAAGAAAGTGGGGTGGGGGAGAGATGGAGGGAGAGAGGGAGACCATTAGATGACTACGACCACTACTTATGAAGGTAGCTATGTTTCCATTAAACTTGTCCAGTGATTTTTTTTTTTTTTGCGTAGAAAATCGACGTGACAATTGCCTGCTATGGTTGCGTTTCCATTTAAAGCTGCAATACGTAAGAAATGTGAATTGTAGATCTGTCATTCTCATTGAAAGCAAGTCTAAGAAGCGGTAGGTCTGTTCTATGTGCGCTATTTCTATGCTTCCCGTTGTGAAGTTTAGTTTTTTTACATCTTGTACTTTTTGGTTTTGTCCACCAGCTTAAAACTGCTGAAAATGCTACATTTACTGTTATGGAAAATATATTTCACAGAGGTTTAGATGGTGCAATGACTGCTTGTTTTGTCACATATAAACTGATAATAGGCAAACTATTAGAATTTCAGCAACTAGTAAAATGGCGGAGCGATTTCTGCATATTGCACCTTTAACTATCTTGCATCAATAAAAACTGCTGGACATAATGAGGTCACACCAATTATTATTATTATGATATATTTTTTTTTTAAAGTGTATTTTACCCCCCCCCCTTTTTCGTCATATCCAATTACGATCTGGTCTCATCGCTGCAACGCCCCAAAGGGCTCGGGAGAGGCGAAGGTCAAGTCATGCTTCCTCCGACCAACGGGCTCGGGAGAGGCGAAGGTCAAGTCATGCTTCCTCCGACCAACGGGCTCGGGAGAGGTGAAGGTCAAGTCATGCGTTCCTCCGACCAACGGGCTCGGGAGAGGTGAAGGTCAAGTCATGCGTCCTCCGACCAACGGGCTCGGGAGAGGCGAAGGTCAAGTCATGCTTCCTCCGAAACATGACCCCGCCTAAAACCGCGCTCCTTAACATGGATAGCGTGGATAGATCGCAATCATTTGACTAATATTTGCCGTATTCTAATAATTCTCATGTGCCAACGTATCGCCACGGTGAAACTTGCACTCCGGTAAAACGGTGACGCTTGCCAGCCAACCAGGAAAGCAAGGCGGAAGCAATTCCAGGCATCCTTGAAAGTCATTTTATTGGAAAAACACCGTTTTCCATCATTTGTTGAAATAAAGAAAGTCTTTAGAAAATGCCTCTCTGCCGTTTCCACGTCATTTTAGTTTTGTCCAATAAACTAATGATGTTTAAAGTTAAGTTACCAAATGTATTTCATAAAGCCCTTTTTACATCGGTAGCCTAGTTGTTGTACTGAGTTTACACAGTGCTGTGACAACTGATCAGACGTCAACGACAAGATCATAACGTTACAGCTGCCTCCCTGTCTGTCTGCCTGCTTGTCAGCCTGCCTCCCTGTCTGTCTGCCTTCTTGCCTGTCTGTCTGCCTACTTGTCTGTCTGCCTGCCTGCCTGCCTCCCTCACTCCCTGTCTGTCTGTCAGCCTGCCTCCCTGTCTGTCTGCCTTTCTGCCTGTCTGTCTGTCTGTCTGTCTGTCTGTCTGTCTGTCTGTCTGTCTGTCAGCCTGCCTCCCTGTCTGTCTGCCTGTCTGTCTGCCTGTCTGTCTCCCTGTCTGTCTGTCAGCCTGCCTCCCTGTCTGTCTGCCTTTCTGCCTGTCTGCCTGCCTGCCTGTCTGCTCATAAGGACCGGGGCTGTGTTGCTGACTAGGCCAAGCCCAAACAACCCTAGCTGAGGTGTGTAACCAACGGGTAGGCCCACTGATGTTGTGTCAAAAAAGTCCAAACCTGAAAAAGTGAGAATTGTTGCTGAGAGAACAAGCCTGGATTATAATCATTCCCCATCATAGCTATCCCCATCCCAGCCTGGATCACAACTCCTAAAGGTGTTCAATGTACTGTAATTAAATGGCACTTAAACTGTTTCACTGGCCCTGGCCCACTCAAGGACTTGAATCCTGTCCCCTATAATAATAGGCGATTCACTCTCCCTGCTGAGTGCCCCCCACAGTCAACTAACCGCACAACCTGACCGCTAGAAAGCAAAACGGGAATCATATTTTTAATGAATATATTATACTGCTTGTCATGTTGACTGTTGTCTGGGCAAAAAAATAAGTATTTTATGACTATGTAATTATCATGTCAAAATGATGCATTGTCAGGCTGCTTTATTACGGGACAATTTCATTGCACAATAATAATCAATGTTGCAAAACTAAAATCTATTTGACGAAACGGGCGGGGAAAAAAACACAAATATGCACTTTTTTTTTTTACAAATCCATAATAGGCTACAATGTTCAAATATTCTTACCGTTTTGCAAAACGAGTGCAATGCAGTTTTTTCTGAGGCACTTTTCCTTAGCTGAATCCGTTTTTAGCCAGAATCCCAGCGGTATTCCTCCTGGTTCGTGATCACCAATACACTTCCAGAATAGTCAAGAGAAGGCGCGGTCGGTCATCCGATTTGTATAGAATTGGTGATTCGGTTAAAAGTATATCCACATTTTTTTCACGCCCTCTCTCTCTCTCTCTCTCCGTGTTGGTTTGATCATCTGTCGGCTGGTGTTTGATAAGGAGCTAAATAAACGTTCAGACCGGAGCCGATACCTACCTCGCTCCACCTACTAGCGATTCCAGTAAAACCTCGGTTCCACTTTCGTTTTAAACAGCCGTTTCTAAGAAATCCTTCCTGCTAACCGTGATGTGGCGTAGCGCAGTACCTCCCCTGTCCACTAGCTGGTAGAGCACGGCGCTTGTAACGCCAAGGTAGTGGGTTCGATTCCCCGGGACCACCCATACACAAAAATGTATGCACGCATGACTGTAAGTCGCTTTGGATAAAAGCGTCTGCTAAATGGCATATTATTATTATATTATAATTCATTTTTTAAGGGCTTTAATTGACTTTAATAACAAGAAAGACACAACCTAAATGGAAGTTCAACACCAGACATCTAACATTCAACTACTACACATTGGCATCACATCACGTCTGACACAATTCATACGGTGGAACCACCTACGTCTGTCTGTCTCTTTCCCCTCTCTTCATCTAATCATCCTTTCAGCCTGCTCTCTCTCTCTCAATTCAATTTCAATTTCAATTTCAATTGAAGGGCTTTATTGGCATGGGAAACGTACGTTAACATTGCCAAAGCAAGTGAAGTAGATAATAAATAATATTAACAGTAAACATTACACTCTACAACTGAACCCCCATCTGCATAGTTTCGCTTCCATTCAAGTTTAGAGTAAAACCGCAATGACTGATCACACGCTTCACAGAAAGACCAGTGTCGTTGACTTTTACACACTTAACTCGTTCTGTGTAGGAATCCACGTCAGTTTCAGTTTTATCAGATGTTTCTCCAAATAGACTAGTTACCACATTCTGAGAAGTGGGCTGTTGTTTCAAGAGCTTCATTTGCATAATCTGTTAGGGTTTTATGTCAGAAGATCTACTAGCTTGAGTAAAAGTCTTTTAAAAGTATTTGGTTTTAAATATACTTAAGCATCAAAAGTAAAAGTACAAATCATTTCAAAAAGTGTTTGGGGGAGTGTGCCCCTGGCTATCCGTCATTATAATAAAATACAAGACAATGGTGCCATCTGGTTTGCGTAATATATTTTATATGTCAGGGAAAAATGTATGGAGTAAAAAGTACATTATTTTCTTTAGGAATGTAGTGAAGTAAAAGTAAAAGTTGTCAAAAAAATATAAATAGTGAAGTACAGATAACCCAGAAAACTACTTAAATGGTGCTTTAAAGTGTTTTTACTTAAATTGTTCCAAATTCCCTGCCGGTGACTGTTATCACACGAGCAAGCGGTACCCGGAGCGCCAAGTGTAGATCCCGAGAGGCTTCTAAACGGCTTCTACCCCCAAGCCATAAGACTCCTGAACAGCTAATCAAATGGCCACCCGGACTATTTGCATTGCCCCCACCCTCTTTTACACTGCTGCTACTCTCTGTTTATTATCTATGCATAGTCACTTTAATAACTCTACCTACATGTACATATTATCTAAATGACCTCGACTAACCGGTGCCCCCGCACATTGACTCGGTACCGGTACCCCCCTGTATATAGCCTCGCTATTGTTATTTTTACTGCTGCTCTTTTAATTATTTGTTATTTTTATTTCGTATTATTTTATATTGTATTTTAGTGTGATTATTTTTTTTGGGGGGGGTATTCTTTCTTAAAACTGCATTGTTTGTTTAAAGCCTAGTAAGTAAGCATTTCACTGTAAGGTCTACACCTGTTGTATTCGGCGCATGTGACAAATACAATTTTGAATTTGATTTGATTTGTCATGCATACCATTCACTACCCTACATGTCCTGTGACAAATACATATATAGTGTATTACCCTATATGTCCTGTACACTCTATATTACTGAATACTATAGGTTTACAGTAGATAATAATATATTACTGAATACTATGGGCCTACAGGTTTACAGTAGATAATAATATATTACTGAATACTATGGGCCTACAGGTTTACAGTAGATAATAATATATTACTGAATACTATGGGCCTACAGGTTTACAGTAGATAATAATATATTACTGAATACTATGGGCCTACAGGTTTACAGTAGATAATAATATATTACTGAATACTATAGGCCTACAGGTTTACAGTAGATAATAATATATTACTGAATACTATAGGCCTACAGGTTTACAGTAGATAATAATATATTACTGAATACTATGGGTCTACAGGTTTACAGTAGATAATAATATATTACTGAATACTATAGGCCTACAGGTTTACAGTAGATAATAATATATTACTGAATACTATAGGCCTACAGGTTTACAGTAGATAATAATATATTAATGAATACTATGGGCCTACAGGTTTACAGTAGATAATAATATATTACTGAATACTATAGGCCTACAG